AACTAATGATGTAATGTATGGTGATTAACATAACATAAAAAAAAACAAACAAAAACAACACCTTACCTGACATTCTTTTTAGGTTAATAACATGTTTTGTTCTCCCTGAGATTTTTTTCTGCTGTGGAAACGCCAAGGATTTTATTTTATTGAATTACAGAATAGAACTTGTACTATTATTTTGATATATGGTATAATTTTCTAAGTAGAATGTTAAGAACAGAATAGGAAGGGACGCCTGCGTGGCTCAGCTGGTTAAGCGTCTGCCTTCAGCCCAGGTTATGATCCCAGGGTCCTGGGATCGAGTTCCGCATGGGACTCCCTGCTCAGCAGGAAGTTTGCTTCTCCCTCTGCTCCCCCTGCTTATGCTCTCTCACTCTCTCTCTCTCTAATAAATAAATAAAATCTTAAAAAAAAAAAGATTGCTAGAATAGGGAAAGCTGCAGAGCAGGGGTCAGAGGCTCTGGAACCATGTGGGGTTACATTTCAGCCAAGTTAACCTCTCTAGTCTCTTCATTTGTAAAACGGGAATAATGATACCTTAAAATGCAGGGGTCTTGTGATAACTAAATAAAATAATGTATGAAGAACATTAGTATTGAGCTCAGAATAAAACATAAGCTCAGTGGAAACAAAATAGTGAAACAGGATCTCTGACATGGACAAATCTAGGTTCAAACCCTGCCTCAGTTCCTTACTAGATATGTGACCTCAGGCAGATGATTAAGTTTTGGGTCTCAGTTACTACACCCATAAAATAAAAATGGTACTTCATACGCTGGAGGCCTCTCTATAAACAATATGTGTGCCTGAGATAGCAAGTTGCCCAACCTATATTCATTTTCCTTTTCTTACTAACAGAACCCGTCAATTATTGAGGGCAGCATTGCACCTAGTTAAAAATTCACATCTTCCAAAGTCTCCCTGGCTGCTACAGGTAGCCAGTGAGGCATAAGTAGAAAATTAGTGCTTTGGGGGAAAACCTCAGTTCAGAGGCCTTCTTTTTGTATTGCCCCCTTTCTTTCTTCTTCCTGCCTAGAATGCAGTCATGTCAGCTAGAGCTTCAGCAGCTATTTTATGTCATGAGGCAACCTGTGGAAACGGAAGCATGATCTAAGGATTGTGAGGCAGAAAGACAGAAGGATCCAGGATTCTTTAAGGACTTTGAAGCTGTGGTGCCAGCCCTGCCTATTTCTGGACTTTCTTAAGTGAAAGAAAAAAATAAATAAACCTTTACCATATTTTAGCCTCAATTATTTAGATTTACTGTTACATGTGAGTAAACCAATTGCTCATGTAATTTCTGTAAGTACCTAAGCCAATGCTTGGCACGTGATAGGGTTCAACAAATGGCAGCCATTACTATTTTTCCCTAGTTTCAGCTCTTAATACTTAAGCAAGTAACCTGTGTTTCAGTTTCTTCACCTATGGTATAATATTTACTATACCTGTGCAGATGAATTATTATGAGGACCTAATAAATTTCTACATAATTATCAGTATTATTATTAATAATCGATCTTGAGCCTATCCCTCCTGGCCAAACAAATGATCGCCACTTACTTTAAGGAAAGAAATCTAATAAATGGACAAAAATCAATCAAGTACTACCATCAAGTGTTCTTGCAGCAACAAGCAACACTATCATCATTAATGTTTTTTATTTTCTTTGTGTCAGTTCTAGAAACAAGCCCTCAAAAAGTCCCTCTGCCATACCCCAAAGTAAAAAGGTCTCTGAGCATACATACAGGGTTGAAAGCCATAGCCAAAACCACAGCTGAAGTCTATTGTGCTTTCACGATGAAGCCCTGTCCATGCTACCCCCATGCTACCCCTTAGACAGACTAGACACCATGGCCCCGGGAATACCACAAATCTAGACGAATTTATACAAACATAAATCTCTTCCCTCCCGTGTGTTTCCAGCAAAATGCTCTGATTGGCTGGGAATTTTCAGAAAGCTATAGGAAGTTTTTGGAACAAGAGCTAGCTTTTCTTCTGATTTGGGTTTGTATGCCATCCTCTGAAAAAAAGAGTAAGTAGAAGAGATTCCTACTCACTGGAAAATTAATGTAAGTTAAGTATGGGGATATTTTTAATATGTGCTTTCCCATAATAGGATGAGACCCTTACGTAGTAATCACACAAAAGCAGTCATTTTCAGTTGATGCCTAAACACCAAGTACCAAGATATATACCCTATGATTTTTCAATGAGCAACTGCTGAGTGGCTAATACAAGTCCAAACAAAACCCCCTTGTTAAATCATGGACATTTTCACAAGAATTCAAACTTGCTTCCCCAGTGCCAAAGTCTCTTTGGTTCGAATCTCATATGTGCATCCAGAGGCATGAGTTTTGGTGACTGTAACTCAAATGGCCCCAAGAAGCCTTACCTGCCATGGTGTACAGATGCAGTAGTGTTTGCACTGATTGGTGCAGGGCAAGAAGAGGCAGGTTGCCACTTGTTGCCCCGAGAGGTAGATGAACCAATGGTAATGGGTGAGGTAGCAGATGAATTGCGATTGGCTGAAATGTAGGGACTTGTGGGGTCACTACTTCTACCAAAGGAAGCACTGCAAAACAGCACACAGTCACTTTCTTCAGGACATGCTGCTCACCCACCATTTCCCAGCACCACCTTCCCCCCAGATTGTGCATTTAAAAGGAATGTAGACCAAAGAGAGGGTATGGCAACTGGGAAGTGGAGTGAGTGATCAACTCCAGCTAGAGCTGGGTCACCGGCAGCAAGCAGGCATTTGTCAATCATCCAAAAGAGTGAAGGAACATGGAGGAGAAATGATATGCAATCAGAGAAAGCAGAAGAATAGTATATAGGAACAGAATAGGGGCTAAGAAATATTAGCAAATAGAATAATTTTATTAGAAAAAGTAATTCCCAACAAACCCCAAAGGCAAAAAAATCATGCAACCCCAAATGTCTACCTGATACAGAAGTAGCACTGCAGAAGCTAAAGTAAGACCAAGACTTTGGAGAGGTTTGGAGTAGAAATTTAAAATTAAAGAGTGGAGAAGAATAAAAAAGCTCTGTGGAAAAAAAAAATGTCTGAGAACTGTGGTTATGTAGCCTAGTCTTGGGAGGATTCAAAGTTTTAAGTCTAGAAAATAATATTGCATGGGCAGCAGAAGGCAACTTTCCTTTGTTTCAAATGAAGATAAGTAAGAACCATCTCAATTGAAGCAAAAAATTATTTGGATTAGAATTTTTTTAAAAAACATTTTGACTATTATAGTAATGACACTAGCAGGGGTGACCAAAACAAGCTATGAAGTCTTTTACTTTAAGATGCATTTTACTGGGACACAGGAAAGGAATTTCTGCCTAAGGACAAGAGATGAACTAGAAAATGGAAAGTTTGCTGAGGCCCGGTGGAGCCCAAGATGGCCAAATGTCTTCTCGTACTTTCTTTTTTAAATAGTGATAGCATACAATTCCCTTTTGAAAAGATCATAAAATGAGATTTTGTATAATCAAAAATGCTTTAAGGGTGACAGAAGTTTGGAAATCCAAAGCATGAAGCAAGTTGTGGATCTTCTTTCAAAAAGCACTCACATAATTAAGCAAGCTTTCCACCCTAAATAGAGGCAGTCCCTTTCCCTCTGTTTACCATAATTGTGCCAACTATACCTGTCTATCCAGATGCTACTCACTGAACCCATTTGTTAATGATTTGGATCACGAAAAAGAACAACCCCACCACAATGTAACAACATGCTTGGAAATTAAATGCAGCTTTCTTTCCTAGTACTAGAATGTTATTTTCTTAGAAAAGTTTTCTTGGTCTTGGATGCAACCATAAGGCGTAATGATGTATCTAGATAGACTAAGACCTTAGTCCTGAAGACAAATAAGTGATAGCTTCATTAAGCCAAAAACACTGAGTTTGTATATATAATGAAGCTTCAGTGAGAACGCTGAATGATCTCTGCAGAACGGAAGACCATCAAAAGGCTACAGTGGCTGTTTGTTTTATGGCTTACTAGTTCCCATGTTCTGGTATTAACTAGTTGACAAGATTCCTCTAATCAAGTGGAATTAAGTTTTAAACCCAAACACATAGTTTATGGCAAAAGGCTGTTTCTTGGGCAGCCAACCAATCCTATAAAACCTAATGTTGAAGCCCATGGCATGAAGAGGCAATTGGAGGGGTTGAGTAAATAAAAGTGAAGAAAGAATTCAAAGTAAGAAATGAGAATCAGACTCTTGACATCAGCAGCAAAGTTCAAATTAAAATACTCATTAAGTATATCTTATAGTTTAATGGCTCTGGCAAAGGTGCTTTGCTTGCTGGCTGGTACATGGCAAAGAAAATAATTGCAGAAAAGAGAATATAGATGAGAAAAGGGGAAGGAAACCCATGTACCTTCTCTGCACCAAACTTGCGAGTTTCACATCTTGATGGATCTGAGGGCCATTAAAGTCATAAAAAAAAAAACAACTCAAGTCCCTAAATTAACAGGCTTCAATATGAAACTTCTTTAATGCAATTCAAAACTGTCCCCATTACCCACCCCCCTCACCACCCTATAGGGTCCCTCCCTTCCTCCCCATAAAAATGTAACTTGAGATATGAACTACTCTAGTTTTAGAAAAAGGAAAGCTAGCTACTGGACAAAGGTGATTTAAATTCAGTCCTGCTCAGGGATTACTAGAAGTCACTTCCAGTTGAAGATTTTAATAGGACTGAGAGGAGAAAGTATAAATTCAGATCTGTCTGTGGTGAGAATTTGGAATTAGCTTACTTTAATTCAGTTAGGAAAATAAATTAATGTTAATTTAAAATTAGTCAAGCTGTTACTCCCAAGAAATCTAAAAGTAATTCGTTTTTTGATTCATTTTCATGGTGCTAATTGGATATAAAACGGCATGCAATTATTACCCATACACCCATGACCAGAGTGAAGAAAAATCATCTCCCATCCCGTGGAACCTGGTACCTTTTCAAGTAGGTCGATACATAGGTAGAAGGAGCAACTGTCTGTGGAGTTTCACTTCCCTTTGCTTCATCCCTCCACAGCTGCCGTGTATATGAACCACTCCTCACTAGATTAACAGCTGATTCTCTGTAGAGGCATGAAAGAAAAATAAAACAAAGCACTGATTCCTACCACCAGTTTTGTCCACGATACAATGCAAACTGGGAGGGGTGCCTGGGAGGCTCAGTTGGTTAAGCATCTGCCTTTGGCTCAGGTCATGATCTCAGGGTCCTAGAATCAAGCCCCACATCAGGCTCCCTGCTCAGCAGGGAGTCTGCTTCTCCCTCTGGGGGGGTGGGGGTGGGAGAGAAGAGCCAGGGATAGAAACTGTAATATGATGGCTAAAGAAATAGACACACTTTTCAAGTGATACTTGGTTTCATATAAACCTGTTTTCTGTATACATAGAGAATGGGTCAAGTATTACTACTGCCTGCTTTCTTTTATCAACTTCAAAGCCAACTAACTTCAATAGGTACCAAATCCTTATATCAAATACCATTACCAATTCTTTGGTAATGAGAACCCACTTTTGTTTCTCCTTTAAAGGGCTTTACAAGGCCAAGAGGTTGTTCATAAGTAAGCAGAGAAGAGGATGATGGGGAAGGTGAGGAAGTCTGTCACAAGAGAAAGAGGTAACTACCGCAGAGGAGGAAAAGAGAAGAACCTGCTGGAAGTCTACTTAGCGTTATAAATAAAAGTCATCCAGGAAAGGGCTGTAGTAGGATTTCTAATTCACACTGTTCATTCAGGGCCTTTGCGACCAAAGCTGTGGCTCTCCAGAGCAGTCCTTCTCAAACTTCAATGTGCATTTGAATGACCTAGAGAATTTTTGTTAAAATCCAAGTTCTAATTCAGCAGGTCTGAGGTGGGGCCTGAGATTCTGCACTTTTAACATGCTTCCAGGTGAAACCAATGCTGCTGGTTGGGAAGACCACACCTTAAAAAGCACAGTTCTCAATCAGGTTCTGCTCTGAGATGCAGCAGTACCTCAAAATCCTCACATTCATTTTAAGTGATGAGGAAGACTTGAAATTTTATGTACATACACATTAGAAGTTGATCACTAATTAAATAACAATACCTTTAGTGTTTACCATGGAATAGGTCGTGTGCTAGGCACTACGGGTCCCTGAGAAACCAGACATAGATCCTACCTTTACAGAGCCTGCTGGTGTATTAAAACAAATTCACCCTCAGAAGGGCCGGGGAAGACTTCCTAAAGACAGTAATACCCAAGCTGAAGTGAGAGCCTGAAGGGCGAAGGGCAAAGCAAGAGAGCAAGGGCTGGGAGGAGCTCTAAGCAGAAGGAATAAACAATTCATAATGTGCTAAGGGCACCTGTGGAGAGTTGGCCGCAGAGCGATGGCCAAGGCATCACTATGCCTAGGAAAGTTACAGAGGACCATCTTTTGGCCTGTATTAGGATTACCTGTTCTCCTTTTCTTCAATGTCACTTGTGCTGCTGAGCCTCCGGGGTGCTAGTGAACTAAAATAGCTTTTGTTTTCTCTCTCCTGTAAAATCAAAACAAGTAAAGCACAGAGAAGGTACAATACTGACATCGTGTAACATTCTGGGTAAAAAAGCAGAGATCAATACACCTATATTATCTTATTTCTAGATCCAATACCAATTCTGGTTTGAGTGGTATTACAAAAGGTTACCTTTCAAAGGCTAATTCCTACCTCTCCTCCATTAAAAGACCAATATACAGGGAAATAATTCTCATGCGAAAGGCCAAAACGATCAAAAAAGGAAAACAGCAGCACAAATTACACAAAGCAACAGCCCTGCCAAGAGAGATGGAGCCTTTGAAAAGCCACAAACAGAAAACTCCACTCTAAAGTTCTTAATGAAATAAGCCTTATTTCTTCCCCAGACTATATCTTCTCTTTGAAATGCAGCTTCAGGCACAACAAATATGCTGCAGAATTCATCCAACCAATATGACTCATCTCCTTGAGGAGTCTCCAGAAACACAATATTGAGCAGGGGACTACGGTTACAGGGCAGACCTGACCCCAGAGAAGAGCATCAGGTAAGCCCTAGAAAATCTGGAACCAAAAGTTAAGAAATAAAAATGCACTGATCTTGGACGATTATGTGGATGAGCTGTTTGTGAAGTTAGCCCGATCATATATCTAGTAACAAAAAAAATAAGGCACTTAAACACTTTTTTCTAAGTGCTAATTTGCCTGAGCTTCATTAGGATCGAAAGTCCAGCTAAGGAACTTTGCTTCCAAACACTGAAACAATAAATTACTGGTATTGGTTCAAGGGAACCTTAGGCCATGTCCAAATTCTCATGTTTCTAACTAAATTTATTTTGCTTTATTTTATTATTTATTTGCCCTACGTAAGGAGGGTAAGGAAGAATGAACATAAGCTATGCCAAAAGATAAAGGGTTTTTCTTTTTTGGCCAAGTAATAATAGCAAGCAAATAGGTAACTGTTTAAACTATCAATGTGCCATCTCCCTTTAAAGACTTTGTACTTCCAGAATCAAATCAGGGACTAGAACACACTTTCATTTGCTCCTGAAACTGAATTTTCACAGAAGGGAACTGCCCAGGAACTCCCCCGTACCCTGCCTAAACTGCACCTTATCTTTGTTGTCCAGCAGAGCAGAAATCCGAGGGCTTGATGATGACCGGTAGATGGAAGAGCCTCGGTCCCTTAGAGCTTCCCTAGAATTGGCCACCTCACTCAGCATGTTGTGGCTGCCAGTTTTTCTGAGTCCCAGTCTCCACGAAGAAGGAGATTCATCTTTGGGTTCTTCTGGCTTATTAAAAAGGCTGGAGGAGAACTACAAGGGAAGAAGCAAAGAAAAGAAAAGGGGAAAAAAAAAAAGGTCCTGATGGTTCTTTTCAGCCTATTTGCCTTTTCCCACACTAAGTTCAGTGAGACAACATAAGGCAGTACAAGGAGAACAAATACATGGCAGGCTTTCTGCCAATGTTCCCTTCCTCACCTGGCAGACGCTAATAACCGCTCAAGACTGCCTTTCTCCCTGAGCCAGAAATAGTCTCAGATTCTTAACAGTGCTCCTACTGACAGAGTTGCTCTCTGAGAAATTAAACACTATTTGCTCTCTTAGCGTACTGACCTAGAACACCAGGAGATCCACGTTCTAGTAAAAACATCTTCTCTTGCTTGACTCACTGTGTAACTGAAAATGAGACATTTTATTTCTCTAGGTCTCAACATGCTCACCTGTAAAATGGTGATAATGAGCTTAATTCCTCTTTATAATATGTGGAGACTAGAAAACACAGATGAGCCAATGTATAAGTATGTTTTAAGGTACTGTGATAAGACTGTGGTAAGCTGACTTAATACTCATAAAAATACTAAAACTCACTCCCCTCAAATTCTAATTGCTTATTTCAAGAAAATAGTTTAAGCTTTGCGCAGTGGCAGTATTGTAGCCAATGAGGTTCATCCCAGGAGCGATTATTGCTAATTGAAGAAAATAGTTCATTTGATCTTGAGCAGCAGTTCCAAGTGCTTCAGATTTCACAGAGCAGCAAAATTAAAAAAGAAGAAAAATGGCAGAAGTCATAGAGTTGCCACCTTTTAGATTTTGCCAGGAGAACATCTTTCAAAAACTTGCTTACCATTTCCATCACTATCATTTCATTAAAAAAAGAAAAACATTTTAACCTCAGAAAAGAAAGCTTTCTGGAAAGCTTACATTGTCTTTATCTCATTTTGCCATAAACCACAGAAAACATCATAGACTAGTGTTAACCCCAAACACCAGTCTGAAGTAATTGGTCTTTAGAACTGCAGTCAACAGTCCATTCCTGGGATCTGGGGGACCTCTGCAAGATGGCTTTGGTCTTACTCCAGGTATCAGGCCACCTTTACTGCCTGGTATAGTGAAAATACAATAGGAACACTAAATCACTTGTCTCCAGCTCACACTCAGATTTTCTCTTTTAATTAGTCATCTGAATGTATATATTTATGTACTCCTTCCAGCTTTAGAGGCTCAATCATGTCAGCTCTTTATAAGCCACCCTGACTCTGAGAGTCACACACACTCTCTCTCTCTTTCAAAAATAAAAAAAAATAAATTAATTAAATTAAAAGAAAGCAAGAAGTCCAGTCACACCTAGAAGCAGTGGGAGTATGTGAGGTACAGCTAAATGCCAGGGTGCAGAGTGAGGTCTGTGTCCTATCTGAGACATCTCTACACATTCAAAGTGATGCTCGTAGGAATAAATAAGCAGGCAGGGCTTTGTTTCCTCATCTCCACAATGATACCATAATCCTGTCTTTTCAAGAAGATCAGTAAGTTAGTATCTATAAAACCACAGAGTTTTTTCAACAGCTTTCTTCCCAAGAACTCATATCGATTCTTAATCTCAAAACTAATTGTATCCTTTGTAGAGCAAGGTCATTATTCAACTCTGTCTCACTGACTAGAAGCGTATAGCTTCTCAGAGGCCTGGGCCGAACTGCAGGAGGAGCTGTCTCTGGTATCTCAGCAAGTTCTTTCTACCTCTGCTCTCTACTCATTATGAGTACTACCAAGACTTTACTTATGAAAGTAAAATTTTAAACAAGACATAAAAAAAAGGACATAAGTCATCAAATCAATTAATACTGAATGCTAGGGGCACTTGGGTGGCTCAGTCATTAAGCGTCTGCCTTCGGCTCAGGTCATGATCCCAGAGTCCTGGGATCGAGCCCCCCATTGGGCTCCCTGCTCCATGGGAAGCCTGCTTCTCCCTCTCCCACTCCCCCTGTTTGTGTTCCCTCTCTCGCTGTGTCTCTCTTTGTCAAATAAATAAATAAAATCTTTAAAAAAAAATACTGAATGCTAGCTATCTTCCTAACCCAGTCTGAGCTTTATATATACTTACCTACTTAGCCATAGATATGAAGAAAATAAGCAATGGACAAAATTCTTTGGTCCCAGATACTATATCCTATGTTATCTAAACACACTGTACCCAAATTTGTTTGGTGATGGATTTATAGCTTTTGCAGGCAATGTGATAAAAGAAATGTTTGTGCGCACCCCTGCCCCCATCCATAATTTGAAGCTCTAATCCCCAGTGTGACTATAATATTTGGAGGTAAGGTGGCTGTCTGCAAACTAGGAAGAGATTCCTCACTAGGAACTGACTCAGCTAGCCCCGTGTGACACAGCTAGTCCCGTGATCTTGGATAGCCCAGCCTCCATAATTGGGAGAAATAAATTTCTGTTGTTTAAAGCCACCTGGTTGGTAGTATTTTGTTATGGCAACCTAAGGTGACTAGGACAGGCAAGATGTATCTGTATTATTTTGCAAGAATGTATCTTTAAGGCCTTTCAAACTGTATGTAACCATAGTAGGAGAAATATAATATTCAAATTAGTTCCAAAATACTCACTCTCCTAGCTGAAGAGGCAGAGAAGGTATTCTGAGCCGGTGGTGGTATCTGTTCCGTGATAATACTCTTGCTTTCAGAGTTGGAATGGTTGACAATGGCTTCTAGCTTTTTATCTATTATTGAAGACAAGAGAAGCAACAAGTGCAAGTATGAAAACCTTATCTGTGTGTATGTATGTACTTTTCTGCTAACAGAAAAGGTTTACCCATATCAAAACAGATTATTAGGGTCATGTAATGCTTGGACTCAAACTAAAATGAAATCTCTAGCAACACTGCCAAAAGGAAATAAACTCAATGGTAAAATTCCTTTCTTGGTAGGCTCCAACTCCCAGATATATAACTGAAAACTTTCTCCACATTATGTATCATATATAAAATTCGTCAGTAAGTACGTAATAAGAATCTACTCTGTTTTGGGAGATTGGGCAGGAAAAACCAGATAGATCTTGCTTTCTAGGTAATTATAATCAAGACATGCGATAAGATGCATAATGATTATAGTAACAATAGAAGATCATATATAAGTTAGGTGCTAAATTGGTTGAGTTGGATCAATGGGGCTTTATGAGTTCAGAGTAAATCCTCTGAGGGAGGAAACAAGGAAAGATGCATAGAGAAAACTGGAAGACAAATACCAACTGGCAGGAGGAAGAAAGGGTATGAGTAATGAATCAGAAATCAAAATATACACATCTGTTGGTCAGTAAATTTAAGTCTAAGCAGGCCTAATTTAAGCAGGCCTAATTAAAGTAATGAATATTCTTGGGATTACAATAGGAAATAAAGGTAGAAAGGATTACAGAGGATATTGCGAGTTAAGCTACAGAGCTGTAGTAGGTGAACCCTCTTAATAAATAACAGTAGTCCATGTTATAGGGCCATCAAGTGGAAACCCTGTCTGTCTCGTTCACTGCTACATCAGTGCCTGCACCTAGTAGGTGTGGTGGGGCCTTCTGATCTACGTACTCTGGAAACAGGGCCCAGAGTAATCCACCTATGAATTACGTGACAAATTTAAGCCACATTTTAGCTGTGTGACACTGGGCAAATTACTTAACATATATGAACCTCTCTTTTCTCACTGATTAATCAGGAATTTTAATTTTTACCTATGAGTTGCTATAAAGTCTAGAGATAATGTTTTTAAATTGCATCGTTCAATGTCTGGCCATAATAAGTCCCTAGTAAACAGTAATTTATTATTAATGTTATTTCTTGTGGTCATTATGAAATATTCAAGGCATTCTTTAAATATTATCTGAATATCTCTAACCCCAAGAAGTATACCTTACTACCTAAATGTGACAGATCATTATAGTAAGAACTCCCAATGAATCTATACCCCTGTGAGTGGTCTCTCAGATTGACTCTGGGCTTGGCAATGTGACTCTCTATGACCACTGGGATATTAGTAAAGTGATACAAACAGAGGCTTGGAAAGTACTTGTGCACTCAACCTTGCCCTCTCATCTTGTGGAATCCAACCGCCGTGTGAAGAAGCAGGGGCTAGTCCGCTTGATGAACATGGCCCACTTGCCTCAAACATCCTAACCAACTACCAGAAAGGTGAGTAAGGCCATCTGGGACCAGCCAGCCCCCAGCTGACTTACCAACGTAAGCCCAGTATTACCACACGGAGGAAAGAAAAGCCACCCCAGTGAAGCCCTTCCCAAACTGCCAACCCATAGAATTGGGTGTATATAAATAGTTGTTTTAAGCACCACTAAATTTGAGGATGGCTTGTTATTTAGCAATAGATAACTAATATACCAAATGTTTAAGTCAAATAAATAAAAGAAAGGGGAAAATAGAAATCCAAATCAAACTGCTTACATTCACCTCAAAAGAGAATTAGTATTCTTTACAATTACATTTATATATAAGACATATGAAAACTGTCATTTTATGAGGTTGTATCTGTGGATCTTTAAAAACAGGATAAATGCATTCAACAAATACTTGTTCAGTACATACATAATGTGTCGGGCATCATTTGGAAAGGTTTAGACATAATCCAGTTCCCCACATTTTCCAGTATACATTTATATATAATGTATATTTATAGGGACCTACCATATAGAAGGCCCAGTGCTAGGCATTATGGAAGACAGAAAGATAAACAAGACACACAATACATTTCAGTGCTTCTGAAACTTGCTGGTAGGGGAAGAAGAGAGGAGATGAGAAACAAACAGAAATAACACTACTACTAGGTAATGTAAGTAATATAAAAGAGGTTCAAACAAATAGCTACCAGTCAGAGGAGGGGAGAAAAACTTGTATCTGTGATGATAAGTCTTCATAAAAGAAGCTGATTTAAGCTGGGCTTTGAAATATGAGTAAAGCTTCAACTGGCAGAAATGAGCAGGGAAGCTTGCTGGAACCATCTGGCTTCTGCCTACATCAGGCTACAGAAACTGCTGAGATTACCAGACTCCCTAAATGCTGTCTCTTTCTTGACCTCTCCCTTCCCACTCCTACCCTGGCTTTTCTTTCTTTCTTTTTAGGATTTTATGTATTTGACAGAGAGAGAGGGAGAGAGCACGCACAAGCAGGGGGAGCGGAAGGCAGAGGGAGAGGGAGAGGGAGGCGGAGGGAGAAGGAGAAGCAGGCTCCCTGCGGAGCAAGGAGCCTGACGTGGGGCTCGATCCCAGGACCCTGGGATCATGACCTGAACTGAAGGCAGATGCTTAACGACTGAGCCACACAGGCAGCCCCCTACCCTGGCTTTTCTGATGCAGAAACACACATCCTGGTTTTCCTCAACCTGCCTGACCATACCGTCTTTGCCTCTTTTTACTTCCTGAACACAGCATGCCCCACGATTCTTTCTGTACATCTTTTCTCTACCATCTTTCCGTTGGGAAATCTCATCCTTTTCCACACCTTTAGCTTCCACCTTTTCGGCAGATAATTTCCACATTTCACTTCGCCCCTGCTACTCTGAGGAGTCCTAGATCAAAGTCAGGATCTCAGGCACACCACTTGCCAGCTATGAGACCCAGTTTGCCTCACCCCTTACAGGGTCAATTTCCCACTCTAAAATGTGGTGATAATACATCCCTCAGGGTGTGGTTGTAAGTACACTGTAGAGTAAAAAGCACTACCCAAATGTAAAGTGTTGTTATGATCCCCCAAACTAAATATAATCTTTCTTACTAGTGAATACCATTGACAACATTTATCTCTCTCATGTGGCATGTATTTTATTCATGTATATGCCTTCCTATTCCCCTGTATGTCCTAGATGTATCCAACAAAAAGCATTTAATGAATGTGAATGCTTGTCCTGTGTCGGGCATCATGCAGAGACCTAGGAGTAAATGAAAAACCTAGAGTTCTCAGCCAAAATGATGAGTGTTACAACAGAGATAAGTACGAAGTGCTAGAGGGATACAGACAGGGGAGCAATTATCATGGGGTGGGGGAACAGTGAAGTGGTCCACTCCTTTTCACTTTTTTAATATAGGAAAACCTGAAGAAAGGCTTCTTCATCCTGGTAAATCCTATAGCTTGTAACAGAAATCACTCCATAAGGATTTGATGGTCAGAAATGAATTCTAAGGTGCAAATAAAAGTTCAGGGGTAGGAAAGCTCAGGGCATGTTTGGGGAAACCAAGCAATCTAGCTTGGCTAGTAGATGACACTGCCTATGGATAGCACTGGAAAGGTCAGCTGGAGATAGATTATGAAAGAACTTGAAGGTTTCAGAACTTGGGATTTATTCTACAGGCAAAGATGGGAGAGGGGAAGGTGGTCGTAGATGGCTTCTGGACAGGGGTGTAGTATACCCTAAGGGCGCGGTGAGTGTTTTACTCCAACAGCAATGTAGAGATGGGTTGCAGGGACCAGAGACCTGAGGCATGGGTACATATAACGAAGCAATTATAGTAGTTCAGGTAGCTCCCTCCCATTTTTCTAATACCTTGATAGTTAACAAAGTGATCTAGCACAGAGCAAGACCAAATAGAAATACTTGAAAGCTTAAGACATGTAAGTCCTTAATAAATAATAAAAACATAAAAAAGATGAACATTTATAAATTTTGATAGGTACTACACTAGCATTTCCAGAGCAAGCTGTGCCTACTTAATAACAGAAGTTCAAGGCTCCATGAGTAAAAGATCATCTCCTATGCTATAAACTTAGTTGGTGCCTATCTTCTCTACAAAATCAATGGTCTCTAATTTCCTTTGGTGACATTCAATGAGCTGATACTAGTACTATTAGTACAAGCCAGTGAGGGTAGGACACATGTACTGTAAAAATCTTAGTTATCATTAACTTCCAATTATCCATGAGAGCTATTCTGTTGCAGGTGAACCGCTACTCAGTAAAACCCAGTATCTCTTTTCTCAGTGTTTGCCTGACTGTGTATCAAAACCTATGGCTGCTTCTACACCTTGTGGATCTGACCATGCCCAGCACCTCACTCTCACTGTTGGGTTTCCTGTCTTGCCATATAATAAACTTAAGAAGTGCCATATGAAGTATATATAATATTAATAACAGTCATAAAGGTAAATATGATTTTGTTCCTTCTTCAATCCCCACCTCAGGAATTGAAGGAGCTTCATATAATCAGAAGGAAAATGAAAAGATCTTGGGATTTTGTTCAGGGAATCAGGTGAACCTGAGAACTAAATGCAAATTTTCACCAGCTGGTTAAAGATACTTGAACAAATATGACTCTGCAAGATCTCACCTCCTCAGCCTCTTAGCATACTGAATTTTAGAATCTGGTCTCTACACCCTACCAAACTGAGGTCAGACAGTTGGCTCCTTTACACAAGAATTTCTGGGGGGCTCCTGGGTGGCTTAGTTGGTTGAGTGTCTGACTTTGATTTCCACTCAGGTCATGATCGCAGGGTTGTGGGATCAAGCTCCCATTAGAGCTCCACGCTCTGACTACTGCGGAGTCAGCTTGAGATTCTCTCCCTCTCCCCCACACGCCTGCTTGCAGGCATGCGCATGGGCACTCTCAATAAATAAATAAATAAATAAATCTTTTTTTAAAAAGGAATTTTTTTGTGCGCCTTATCATATGGCTACATAGAAACCAATACACATATTCTAACCTAGCTCATAGCTTTTACAACCAAGTTTTCACTCAAAATTTGGTATCTTACCTTTGAAAACTAAAGTGAAAGAACTTAAAGCTCTTTTTGGAGCCCTCTGACACCTCCTAGCTCTGACAAGCAGTGATCTCCTTGCATTATGGAAACAGAGGACCTTTACTATGAATATCTTTACATTACCTGCTTCCTTCTCAGTTTCTGACTCAGAAGCTTCATCTTCACCTTCCTCCTCCTCTGAGCTGGAGCTGCTAGACTCTTTGCTTTCTTCCTCCATTTCTTGGGACTTGGATACCTCTTCTTCATAAAGCATCTTCTCTTTGCTAAATTAAAGATGACAATTTGAGTGTAACTCAGAAACGGCAAACTATTTAAGTTCACTGGCAATCAAGCATAAGGAGAACAAGTCTATAAACCCCTGTGCAGAAGCAATAACAGAAATACTTCAAATCCTTCTTTACATTCTTCTGAATCCTTGGGTTCTTGCAGACTAAGGTTCAGTATTTGACTTTGGAGTATGACTTAAGTAGATCTAGCCTGTTCAACACACAGGAAAAAGGAGGACTATGAATCTTGACGGTGATAAAGCAGGTAAATATTTTTAAAAAGTCATTTAACAAATGTTTCCTGAATGTTTATTACCTGCCAGGAATCATGCTAGGCCCTGGTACAGTGGTAAACAAAACACACATGGTCCCTGAGTGCACAGAACTTAGAGTTAGGGATGTAACTAGGACTAGGAACCTGTAAGCTGGGGGGAAAATGTTGTACACTGTCTCAATTAATTTCTGAATTTAAAACACATTCACCCGGGGCACCTGGGTGGCTCAGTTGGTTGAGTATCAGCCTTCGGCTCAGGTCGTGAAACCAGGGTCCTGGGATTGAGCCCACGTCCCCTGCATCAGGCTCCCTGCTCATCAAGGAGTCCGCTTCTCCCTCCCCTTCTGCCCCTCCCCCTGCTCATGCTCACACACTCTCTCAAATAAATAAAATCTTAAAAATAAATTAAAAAAAAAAACACGTTCACCCACCCTCAGTGTCTCCCCCATATATCAATGCCACCTCTTTGCCCCTCAAACATCCCACACGTTTAAAGATCATTTGGCTTAAATCAAACACAGTTTCTTTCCTGTATAAATTCTCAAGCTATGTCATACACACATATGCACCCAAACACAGCAGAGCTCATCCCATTTCTCAAGCCCTGAACACCTTACTTCTTAAAAAGTCCACTCTGCAACTTGCTGTTCAGGTCTGACTCAATGAGCTTATTCCGTGTCTCTTTTTCACTTCGAAGCTGGAAATTGAGAAAACAGAGAGGAAAGGGAAGAAGTTGACTATTAGTACAAATCAGCAGCAATGAGAAGAACTCAAAATGGTACTGTCATTCTGAAGAAAACGGGACCGATACCAAAAGGGAAGAAAGAACTGAGAAAAAGAGAAACGCATCAGTTGGGTCTCCTTACAAGATAATGACAAAGAAAAATCCTCATCCAAGGTAAGAAAAAAACCATGGTGTTAGAGCTTCAATAAAACTGCTCGTATGAAATATCCAAACCCAATCTTCAAAAAACCCTGGCTTCTAGTGGAGGCTGGCTGGCTCATTCAGAAGATCATGTGACTCTTGATGTGGGGGTTGTGACTTCAAGCCCCACGTTGGGTGTTGAGAGATTACTAAAAAAAATAAGTAAACTTAAAAAAAAAAAAAAAGTCTAGCTTCTGATGGATTAAAAAAAAAGGGAAGGAACTTTGAAAAAATTCTTTAAGATCACATACCGAATTAGGTTGGCTCAGTTCTCAAGAAAAAAATGGTACCAAAGGGGAAATAAGTCCCTAGAATAAACTGTCTGGTATTTAGATAGATGCTCTAGACAAAATGAGTTTATATCCCTGGACCCAAAAGTTATGCAGGGAGCAAAGATAAGCACCATTCCCAGTGCAGAAATGTTATTTAGTGAAAATATTATTTATGTTCAAAAACCAAACCATGCTGGGTAAAGGATACATAGAAACTCTCTATTATTTTCACAACTTCTTCGTGGGTCTAAAAATTATTTCAGAATGAAAAGTTTAAAACACAACGAAAACCTAACTAAACAAAGCATACATCTTAGGAAGGCCAATGCTGTTAGATAATAGCCCCAGTACTGTGTGTAGTGAGTCCCAAGTTTTAGCCTAGATTCCACAGCTCACCAAAGAAAACAAGATGAACTGTAAGTTGTGTTTGTCTGAGCTTTATATATGCAATTGTCCCACTAAGCCTTGAAGTAACGGGGATCTTCACTCTACCAGTCCAGACGTGGTGCTAAACATGTGTGCGGTGAGATACGGTTGATCTGTCCCACCAGTGAACTCCATAGTTATTTTTTTCAGAACTGCTCTAAGTTTCTCTCCTTTGTCCTAAACTTGAGTTCACATGCCCTGAGCCACAATTCATGCAAAGAAAAACACAAAGGAAAGCTAGTGATTTTTTTCTGTCCCACTCTGTTCAGACATCAGCCCTGATCATCAGTAGCTGATCTTTATTCTCCTTGTCCAAATTAATCATCCCACTTACAGATAGAAAAAGTGAATTATTCATTGTTTATCTGGATATTGGGTGGGTTTTTTCCTTCTGCAGTCTGTACATGGATATGATACTTAGGTAGTTCTCCTACATAGCACCAAGCAACAGAATGGTACGTGCAAGCAAACAATAAAAGATTTAAAATGAGAAGGGAGAGGAGGATTGAATTCTGGATATCTGATGAATCCTGAGTAAGTATGAATCACTGGCCAAGTACTGTCCAATATCAAAAGACAGGTTTAGTTTTGTGGTCTTGTTTGCTTTGTAAGAAAGAAATATATTCCTCCCTGTCATGAATTTACTTTAAATAAACATGTCCTTTCAGTAAATAAGAGGAGAAAAAAGTTATGAGGTGTCCTCTACCCTGGTACTCCCTATTTGGAAAAAACTCTGATTTGAATATACCACATTCATTTCCTAGAACTCCAGGGTAATAATTACTTTGTTGTTCTTGTCATTTTTTACTTTCAGCTGCTTGAAGACTATCTTATAATGAGTAAACTTCAACAACAATGGTTTCTGGGATATTTTCTAACAGACTGTTGCTAGTCCCTGAAGTGAACAATTATCATCTCTGGAATGTAGATATGTCCATTTCAGCTCTCAGGAGACATAACTAAAACAAGGTATGAGATACCTGCATTGTTATAAAAGCTTTTAAAAGCATTAACCAAAGACTTACCACATTCTGCTTCTTCTGGAGCATCTCCAAGTGCTCCACAAGACCCTCATCAGCCACATCAAATGGTGTCTGGCCCTGGCAGAGAAAAGGGGGTACCATGATCAAAAGAAAATAGAAGTAGTGATTTTGTGACTTTATCAGAGAACTATTCAATACTCATTTTATGCCTTTGTTCCAGTGATGGCTGCTTCCCTAACTTATCTAATCTACATTATAATAATGCCTTCATCTATCACAGAGAAAACGTAACAAGAAACAGCATGTCTGTTGGGGAGCCTGGGTAGCTCAGTTGGTTAAGCGTCTGACTCTTGATTTTGGCTCAAGTCATAATCTCAGGGTCGTGAGATTGAGCCCCGCATGAGGCTCTGTGCGTGGAACCTACTTAAGATTCTGTACTACCTCCCCCCCTTACCCACTCACACACTCTTCCTCTAAAACAAAGCAAAACATATCAAGTCCTTTAAATACATGTTTTTATATTTAATAAAACAGTATTGAGGAAATCACCACATTATCTCTAATGCTTACTGCCTCTTGGCATATAATCAATTGAAATCTCTACTTGTACCTGTTCTAAAATGGTCTTAATTGTTATAATAAATTCAATAAGGGGCTTTTCTTAAAAGCCTCAGAAGGGGGTCCAGGCACATGTGCACTAAAGATTAAGTCACAGCAGTTATCTCCCTTCAAGAAGGTATCTCTTTTAGGAAACATCAGCACAATTCAGGACCATAACCCATAAACTGGGGATGAAAGCTGGGTTCAGGAGAGATGTGAAGCAGATAAGAACATCTACTAAATAAAAAGCCATGTCTCTGGATTCCTAAAAAAAAAAAACTAGTTTTAGGGACAGGAGTTCTAGGGCCTCTAAAGTTGCTTGAAGTGAGGCTGAATAACTATTTTCAGCCAGACTCAAGGATCTTTGTCATTATAATGTTTTTTTAATGACTGGATGAGAGTAGAATTCAGCTATCAAAAGTCTTCGAATTAAAAATAAAGTAAAATAAAATCTTTCATACTTCACCATAAACAGCAACCTCAGGATTTCCCAGTGCTCATTTTTCCCAAGGGCAAATATCTTTTTTTCCTATTTATTTTAGGGGTTTCAACATAAATAGAATCAGAATGCTGATCAGTAGAGTTTTATTTTACATAGCAAACATCTCTGTGTTGATAATGGGGCCACGGGGAAGGAGGAGGGTGCAGAGAACAGAGCCATAGCTACCTGTGATGTAATATTTCCCCAGACAGTAAGCCTGGCCATTTAACTGAAACTTTAAGCCTTTTGTTCTAGAGACCCAGACACCAAATTCACTGCCCTTTTAGAGGGTCAGGCATACTAACCAGTTTGTTCCTGATATCCATGTCACAGAGTGCTTCTGCCAGGATGGAGCAAGCCTCCTTCACTCCCCAGTGTGCAGCAGCATGGAGGGGAGTCCAACCATCGTAATCCTGAACATTGAGTTCATAGCCAGCCTGGATTAAAAGTCTAAGAAGAAAACCCCAAATAAGACACCTATACCCTCTAAATTACAGTTTTCTGCCAAATAAACTATCACCTAATTGATATTCACTTTGGCCCTGAACCACCAGGAAACTGTGATTACTTCTGTCCTCTAAGGCACAGCTCGGGCTTCACGGTTCCTACACTGAGAACCTATCACAGAGAGCAGTTATCAACCCGCTCTGAAAGGTCAGAGTGTATTTCCTAGGTACATCCATGTGACACCACACAAGAGGAGTATTTAGAAAGGTGTATCCCTTTGAGATTCACCAAAGCCTGATTAAATTTGCCAAACCACACAACTCTGTTACAAGGTGTGTTTTCCATTTCCTAGTGCGGGTAGGAAAGAACATATAAAATGAGAACTCCCATCAACAGTGTAAGAGGGTCCCGTTTCTCCACATCCTTGCCAACACTTGTTGTTTCCTGCCTTGTTAATTTTTGCCATTCTAACTGGTGTAAGGTGGTATCTCAATGTGGTTTTGATCTGAATTTCCCTGATGGCTAATGATGTTGAACATTTTCACCCAGTGTTCATAGCACCAATGTCCACAATAGCCAAACTGTGGAAGGGCCAAGATGCCCTTCAACAGATGAATGGATAAAGAAGATGTCGTTCATATATACGATGGAATATTACTCAGCCATCAGAAAGGATGAATACCCACCATTTGCATCGACATGGATGGAACTGGAGGGGATTATGCTAAGTGAAATAAGTCAAGCAGAGAAAGACAATTATCATATGGTTTCACTCATATGTGGAATGTAAGCAATAGCAAGGAGGACAATAGGGGAAGGAAGGGAAAATTGAAGTGGGGGAATCAGAGAGGGACTAACCATGAGAGACTCTGGACTCCAGGAAACAAACTGAGGGTTTTGGGGTGGGGGGAGATGGGGTAGCCAGGTGATGGGGATTAAAGAGGGCATGTGTTGTGATTAGCACTGGGTGTTATACGCAACCAATGAATCACTGAACACTACATCTGAAACTCATGATGTACTGTATGGTGGCGAACTGAACATGAAAGAAAGAAAAAGGAAGAAAGGAAGAAAGGAGAAAGAAAAAGAACTCACTCACTCACTCAATACTCTTCAGGGCACTTTACTTACGAACTTTCTAGTTGATCTTTCCAGGATCCCATATGTTTACTGTAGACTCTCAAACTTCCAACTCTGCGAAGTATTTGCAGGGACTTCTTGCTAACTACAAAGCTATAATCTGTGTGCATGGAGGAAGAAAGGTATGACTCCTGAGGCCCCAAACTGCACTGGCCTGATTGAGGTTACCCATATCATGGGCCTCCAGACACCTTCTGAGAAGTGAGCAGAATATGAATGTCACTCTCAGGCAAAACAGTATACTAACATACTGCCACACCTATTAGATACCCCATATTCGGTGGAGTATGAAGCACTGGAAGAGTCTGGCAACAACCATGCACACGAAGCTATTAGCTGCCCATGTATTTGGGAAAGCCTGTCAACAGTAAGCACCAGAAGCTACCTAAAGCATGTATGGATGTAAGAAAAAATGGAACAGGTAGAGCAGTAGAATCCAAATCCCTCATATCAGTTTAACTCTCCTACTCTAACTGGACACTGCACACTCAAGATCTGTACCCTTAATCTAAAGAGCCCAAAGAAATTCTCTATGTCCAAAAAGGACCAAAATGATCACAAGTGTGTCCTGTATTACACATCACCAGAGGAGAAGACTGTAGGGATACTAATGATAAATCACAGCACTAGAGGAGATCATGTAAGGTCATCTCCTAAGCTAGTGTACCTGAACTGTTTCTTATCATACATGTCAGCGAGAAACTCACGTGACAGTAGGAGGGTGGGAGACCATCTATGGATTAATATCAGCAAAAGAGAAGAAAAGACTGAATAATCAGAGAGGAAAACAATAAAGAAAGAAACATATCATAGCTGAAAATCTAATTCATCCCCTGCTTCCAAAACCCAGCTCATCTTCTCCCAGTTTACCAAACTCCTGACTGATGTAAACGGACAATACCTGAGGACCTCAGAGTAGCCCTTGGCAGCAGCCACATGGAGGGCTGTGGCCCCTGAGCGAGGCTGCCTTACATCCTCTAGTTTCCCGCTGTTGAGCCACTGGCGGGCATCCTGTAACATCTGTTGTTCCTCTTCTTTTCGTGACTGCTCTAGATCAACTCCTGCAGAAACCAGAGAGCCAGCATTACTCAAGGCCCATTTAAATCTGACAGGATATTTTCCTTAGATTCCAAACACATCATAAATAAAACTGCAAATAACAGTTTAGTCATCAAGTTGGGTATTCATCAAATGTACTCTTTATTTAGAAGAGCAATGACATTTATACACATACTAGTAGTTTTACCAGGGTTAAATCATCATTTTAAATACTGTGTGATGGCAGATCCATTAAAGGAACACGCTTAAAATTGTTTTCAATTTTAAAGAACATAAAGACCAAACTGGACATTATTTTTGTATTATAGTATTTGTACAATGCTATACACTTCAAAGACCTTTTACATGTTACACCATTTTAGTTTCCCAACAATCCTTTGAGGTAAATATAATAGATATCACTATCACCATTTAACAGACGAGGAAATAAACATAGAAAGGTTAGGTGCCTCGCTCAAGGCCATAAAACACATTACAGCTGTAACTAGAACTCTGGCATCCTAGGTCCCTGTCTATTGTTTGTTCCCACTTACTACTCCATAAGATTGGTACAAAAAAATCTTGGTTTCAGGTATGATATACTTTAAAAAAATAATCTACCTCTAATGTTCACTTCCATATGTAGGGAAATATACTGACTTGAAGCTATATAATCTAGAGCAGCTGAGTAGGTCATGTGCAGTTAAAACTTCCAAGGGAATGTAGCTTTTGTTTTGCTTTAAAACATTATAGAGGAATTCCAAAAAGTTCCTCCCTTTAGCCAGCAACTGTCCAACATCTGTGCCACTGAAAAGGGGCTGGGGTGGGGCATTCCCTCTTATATAAAATAATGATATGATCAATTCACAGAAATTAGTTGCATTTCTATACGCCAACGAGACAGAAGAAAGAGAAATTAAGGAGTCGATCCCATTTACAATTGCACCCAAAACCGTAAGATACCTAGGAATAAACCTAACCAAAGAGGCAAAGGATCTATACTCAGAAAACTATAGAATACCCATGAAAGAAACAGAGGAGGACACAAAAAAATGGAAAAACGTTCCATGCTCATGGATTGGAAGAACAAATATTGTTAAAATGTCAATGCTATCTAGAGCAATCTACACATTCAATGCAATCCCTATCAAAATACCTTCAACTTTTTTCACAGAACTGGAACAAATAATCCTAAAATTTGTATGGAACCAGAAAAGACCCCGAATAACCAAAGGAATGTTGAAAAAGAAAACCAAAGCTGGTGGCATCACAATTCTGGACTTCAAGCTCTATTACAAAGCTGTAGTCATCAAGACAGTACGGTACTGACACAAAAACAGACATACAGATCAATGGAACAGAATAGCGAACCCAGAAATAGATCCTCAACTCTACCGTCAACTAATCTTCAACAAAGGACAAAAGAATATACATTGAAAAAAAGACAATCTCTTCAACAAACGGTGTTGGGAAAATTGGACAGCCACATGTAGAAGAATGAAACTGGACCATTTCCTTACACCATACACAAAAATATACTCAAAATGGTTGAAAGACCTAAATGTGAGACAGGAATCCATCAAATTCCTTGAGAACACAGGCAGCAACCTCTTTGACCTCGGTTGTAGCAACTTCTTGCTAGACACGTCTCCAAAGGCAAGGGAAGCAAGGGCAAAAATGAACTATTGGGACTTCATCAAGATACACAGCTTTTGTTGATGTAATGTATGGTGATTAACGTAACAATAAAAAAATTAAAAAAAAAAAGATACATAGCTTTTGCACAGCAAAGGAAACAGTCAACAAAACCAAAAGACAACCAACAGAATAGGAGAAGATATTTGCAAATGACATATCAGATAAAGGGTTAGTATCCAAAATCTATAAAGAACTTATCAAACTCAACACCCAAAGAACAAATAATCCAATCAAGAAATGGGCAGAAGGCATGAACAGACATTTCTGCAAAAAAGATATCCAAATGGCCAACAGACATATGAAAAAGTGCTCAACATCACTCGGCATTAGGGAAATACAAAAATCAAAACCACAATGAGATACCACCGCACACCAGTCAGAATGGCTAAAATTAACAAATCAGGAAATGACAGACATTGGCGAGGATGCAAAGAAAAGGGAACCCTCCTACACTGTTGGTGGGAATGCAAGCTGGTGTAGCCACTCTGGAAAAACAGTATGGAGGTTCCTCAAAAAGTTGAAAATAGAGCTGCCCTATGACCCAGCAATTGCACTACTGAGTATTTACCCCAAAGATACAAATGTAGTGATCTGGAGGGGCACCTGCACCCCAATGTTTATAGCAGCAATGTCCACAACAGTGAAACTATGGAAAGAGCCCAGATGTCCATCAACAGATGAATGGATAAAGATATGGAATGGAATATTACGCAGCCACCACAAAAATGAAATCTTGCCATTTGCAATGATATGGATGGAACTAGAAGGTATTATGCTAAGTGAAATAAGTCTATCAGAGAAAGATAATTATCATATGATCTCAGTGATATGTGGAATTTGAGAAACAAGGCAGAGAATCATAGGGGAAGAGAGGAAAAAATGAAACAAGATGAAACCAGAGAGGGAGACAAACCATAAGAGACTCTTAATCTTAGGAAATAAACTGAGGGTTGCTGGAGGGGAGGGGGGGTGAGGGGATGGGGTAACTGGGTGATGGACACTGAGGAGGGTATGTGTTGTAATGAGCACTGGATATTATAGAAGACTAATGAGTCACAGACCTGCACCTCTGAAACAAATAATACATTATATGTTAATTAAAAAAAACCCCAAAAAATGACATGTCCCAAATACAAACATAGCCATCCAAAGAGTTCTATACTCATGAGCAGGCTTTATCTGTGCTTGGTCTACTCCCTTCCAACTCACTTCCTAAATGAAAACCTGTGAGCTACCTAAGGATTATCTGTCTGATTTGGGGAGACTGATGGCATGAAAGGGTAAGCAATTTATTTCTTTTTTTTTTCCAGAGTCACTGAGATACAATAGACATATAACACTGTGTACGTTAAATTTGTACATGTTGATTTGATACTTATATATGCAAAATGATCACTACAATAAAGTTAGTTAACAACAGTATCACCTCACATAATTATCATTTCTTTTTTGTGCTGGAAACATTTAAAATCGCTTAGTAACTTTCAAGTTCATAATACAGTATTGTTAATTACAGTTACCATGCTGTACATTAGATCCACAGAACTTATTTTATAACCGGAAGTTTGTACCCTTTGACCAATATCTCCCCATTCATCCCCACCCCTAGCCCCTGGAAACCACCATTCTACTCTCTGATCATATAATATTTGTTTCTTTCTCTGTCTGATTTATTTCACTTAGCATAATGCCCTCAAGGCCCACCCACATTGTTGTACATAGCAGTATTTCCTTCTTTCTCATGGCTGAATAATATTCCATTATATATATATATATAAAACATCTTTATCCATTCATCCATAGACTGACACTTAGGTTGCTTCCACATTTTGGCTATTGTGAATAATGCTGCATTGAAAAGAGGAGTACAGATATCTCTTTGAGATCCTTTTTTTTTTTTAAGATTTATTTATTTTAGGGGAGGAGGGGCAGAGGGAGAGGGAATCCTCAAGCAGACTCCCCGCTGAGCAAGGAACCTGACGTGGGGCTCAATCTCAGGACCCTGAGATCATGACCTGAGCCAAAATCAAGAGTCGGCCGCATAACTGACTGAGCCACCTAGATGCCCTTCTCTTGAGATTTTACTTTCATTTTCTTTGGATATATACCCTGAAGTGGGACTACTGGGTCATATGATAGTACTATTTTTAATTTTTTAAGGAAATTCCATGCAGTTTTCCATAGTTGCTATACCAATTTACATTCACACCAACTGTGTACAAGGGTTCCCTTTTCTCCACAGCCTTGCCAACACTTAGTATTTCTTGTCTTTTTGATGATAGCCATTTGAACAGGTGTGAGGTGGTATCTCACAGTGGTTTTGATTTGTTTCCCTGATGATTAGTGATGCTGAACATCTTCACATAAACCTGTTTGTACATCTTCTTTGAAAAAATGTCCATCCAGTTCTTCTGCCCATTTTGTTTGTTTTTGCTGTTGAGTTGTATGAGTTCCCTATGTATTTATCAGATATATGATTTGCAGATATTTTTTCCCCATTCTGTAGGATGTCTTCATTTTGTTCATTGTTTCTTTTGCTGTGCAGAAACTCCTTAGTTTGATGTCGTCCTGCTTATTTATTTTCGCTTTTGTTGCTTGAGCTTTTTGTGTCATATCCCAAAAATTATCGTCAAGACCAATGTAAAGGAGGTTTTCCCCCATGTTTTCTTCTGGGAGTTTTATAGCTTCAAGTCATATGCATTGGTTTTAACTCCATTTTGAGTTAATTTCTGTGAGTGTTATAAGATAGGGGTCCCATTTCATTTTTCTGCATGGGATTATGCAGTTTTCCTGACACCATTTATTGAAGAGACTATCCCTTCCCTAATGAGTCCTCTTGGCTCTCTTGTTCAAGTATTAGTTAACCATGTATGTAAGGGTTTATTTTTGGGCTCTCCATTCTGTTCCATTGGTCTGTGTGTCTATTTTTATTGCCAATACCACACTGCTTTGATTACTATAGCTTAGTATATAGTTTTGGAATCAGGAAGTGTGATGCCTCCAGCTTTGTTCTTTTTCAGGATTACTTTGGCAATTTGGGGTCTTTTGTGGTTCCATACAAACTTTAGGATTGTTTTTTCTATTTCCATGAAAAATGCCTCTGAAATTTTGATAGGGATTACATTGAATCTATAGATGGCTTTGGACATTTTAACAATATTAATTCTTTCAATCCATGGGTGGATTTCCATTTATATATGTCTTCTTCAATTTCTTTCTTTTCACATCTTTCACTTCCTTGGTTAAATTTATTCCTAACCAATTTATTGTTTTTGGTGCTATGAGTTTTTTGGTAGTCTTCAGAATTTTCTATACATGAGATCATAATCATCTGCACACAAAGAAAATTTTAGTTCTTCCTTTCTGATTTACATGCCTTGTATTTCTTTTTCTTGCTTGACTACTCTGGCTAGGACTTCTAGTAATATGTTGAATAGAAGTGGTGAGAGTGGGCACCCTTGCTTGTTCCTGATCATAAAGGAAAAGTTTTCAACCTTTCACCATTGAGTATGATGTTAACCATGGGCTTGTCATATATGGCCTTTATTATGTTGAAATAATTCCTTCTATATCCAATTTGTTCAGAAGTTTTACCATGAAAGGTTGTTGTATTTTATCAGATGCTTTTTCTGAATCTGTTGAGATGATAATTTTTACCTTTCATTCTATTAATGTTGTGTATCATATTTATTGATTTATGTATGTTGAACCACCCTTGCATCTCAGAGATAAACCCCACTTGATCACAGTGTATGATCTTTCTGTTGTGCTGCTGAATTTGGTTTGCTAATATTTTGTTGAGAATTTTTGCATCTATATTCGGCAGGGATATTGGCCTATAGTTTCCTTTTCTTGTACTGTCCTTATCTGGCTTTGGTATCAGGGTAATGCTGGCCTCATAAAATGAGTTTGGGAGTGTTCCCTCCTCTTCACTTTTTTTGAAACAATTTGAGAAGGATTGGTATTAATTCTTCTTTAAATGTTTGGTAGAATTAACCTAAGAAATCATCTGGTCCTGGGCTTTTCTTATTGTTTGATTACTGATTCAATCTCCTTATTTGTTATCAGTCTGTTCAGATTTTCTGTTTCTTCCTGATTCAGTCTTGGTAGGTTGCAAATTTCTAGAAATTTATCTATTTCGTCTAGGTTAACCATAGTTGTTTATAGTGGTCTTTTATCATGCTTTGTATTTCTGTGGTATCAGCTGTAATGCCTCTTCTTTCATTTGGTTTTATTTCAGTCTTCTCTTTTCTTCTTAGTCTAACTTAAGGTTTGTCAATTTTTTTTAAAGACTTTATTTATTTATTTGACAGAGAAAGAGACAGTGAGAGCAGGAACACAAGCAGGGGAGTAGGAGGGAGAAGAAGGCTTCCTGTCAAATAGGGAGCCCAATGCAAGACTCGATCCCAGGACACTGGGATCATGACCTGAGCCGAAGGCAGACACTTAACAACGGAGCCACCCACGCACCCGAGGTTTGTCAATTTTATTTATCTTTCAAAAAACAGCTCTTAGTTTCATTAATCTTTTCTATTTTTTTTTCTGGTCTCTGTTTCATTAATTTCTGCTCTGATCTTTGTTATTTCCATCCTTCTGCTAACTTGGGCTTAGTTTATTCCTTTTTCTAGTTCTCTGAAATGTAAAGGTGAGTTGTTTATTTGAGATATTTCTTTTCTCCTAATGTAAGCATTTGTCACTATAAACTTCCCTCTAAGATCTGCTTTTGCTGCATTCCATAAGTTTTAGCATGCTGTGTTTCCATTTTCGTGTTTTTCAAGATATTTTTAAATTCTTCTTTTGATTTCTTCTTTGACCCACTGGGTGTTTAGTAGCACATTGTTTAATTACTACATATTTGTGAGTTTGAGTTTTCCAGTCCAGTTTTCCTCCTCTTATTGATGGAATGTTCTGTATATGTCTATTAGGTCCACAGGGTCTACAGTATAGTTCAAGTCCAATGTTTCCTTGTTGGTTTTCTGTTCAGATGATCTATCCATTGTTGAAAGTGGGGTACTGAAGTCCCCTTCTATTATTGTATCATTGTCTATTTTTCCCTTCAGATCTGTCAGTATTTGTTTAATATATTTAGGTGTTCAAAAGTTGGGTGCATATTAATTTATGACTGTTATATCCTCTTGAAACTGAAAGGGATATCTGATTTAGAATATACCAGAATTCCACACAAAGAGAGAACAGTGCTAAATTGTTAAGCATACATTTGAATACCTCTTATTCCTTAACTGAACAGAGCATATTCCTTAATTAAAGAGCATATTCCTTAATTGAAGAGTCAGAAATCCAAATAGAAAAGTTGGTTGCTTGGGGCGCCTGAGTGGCTCAGTCAGTTGAGTGTCTGGTTCATGATTTAGGTTCAGGTCATGATCTCATGGGTTACTCCCTGCACTCAGCGGGCAGTCTGCTTGAGATTTTCTCCCTCTGCCCTCCACCTTCTCTCTCTCAAATAAATAAATCTTTTTTTTTTTTTTTTAAAGAAAAGTTGGTTTCAGGATGCCTGGGTGGCTCAGTCGTTAAGTGTCTGCCTTCGGCTCAGGTCATGATCCTGGGGTCCTGGGATCGAGTCCCACATCGGGCTCCTTGCTCAGTGAGGAGCCTGCTTCTCCCTCTCCCTCTACTGCTCCCCCTGCTTGTGCTCTCTCTCTCTCTCTGACAAATATACAAATAAAAATCTTTAAAGAAAAGTTGGTTTCTTAAATCAAAGCTATTATAAAAACCGTTTGTTTAAAAAAAAAGTTTTTGTAAATAGTGATGCCAATCTTAGCATAAGGCTGAGTGGGACTGAACGGTAAACTAAGTATAAAATTCTTTAATTCAAAGAGCACAAAAATTATACATGGGAAGGCAGTAAAAACAAGTATTAACTGCCCCAGAACATCATTATTTTAAGGTATTGGCATACTTTCCATAAAAAGCCAGATATCAAATATTTTCCACTTTGTGAGCTATTTGGTGTGTTCAACTCTGCTGTGGTAAGTGCAAACGCAGCTTTTGGTAATATGTGAACAAATGGATGTGGCCAGGACTGGCCTGCCTGTTCTAAAGGATCATATCAGGAAAGGCCACTGGAACTTAAATCTTTTGGAATGAAATGCAGATTGTGGGTAAGCTAATTTAACAGAAAGAGTAAACATCACAACAAACCATGTCCACAAAGTTTTTTGATGGTTCTAGCAAACTTCCTAAAACCTGTCCTCCCTGCCATCTGACTATTTGCAATATTTTTTTATTAAAAGAACACAGAAACTTCAGGAAAATCCTGACTTATTCTCTGATATGGATTTTTCTGAAAATTAAAATTAAGTATTTGTAGAGTTTATTCTTCTAAATAACAAACTGTGGAATAATTTTCATGGTCAGTATGGTTAAGGATCATTTCAGAGGTTTTATAATAAATACTTTTACCAGCACCACTTTCAGCTCTCATCAAGAGAAAAGATACAAAGTCACCAGCAGAATTTGCCCAATACTCAAATTTACACTGTATATCACCCTTTCTTTAGACTTTATAATGTGTAGCCAAATCCAGTACCATGTACACACAGTGAGAAACTTCATGCTCCTCATCAGTCTGATTTGTATTATCAAAGAATGCTCAGGTCACTCCCAACTATACAAAGGGTATACTGGATACGACAAAAACAAGGAATGACCAGTCACCCTTTTGACATTAGGGCTATTCTTGTGTGAGTTATTGAGAGAATACATGATGTTGGTGATTGATGACTAATGCTGTGGAGACAGATCTAATCCTCTCTTATCATATGATAATGAAAAATTCTATACAGCAAATGGACTGTTTTCTAAGTGGCAATGTTTGAAAGTCTCTCCTGGTCCCCTGAAATCGCTTAGGTTACCTTGCTTCTTCACTTGCTCCAGAAGAAGATCCTTCATGGCAGGCTCTTCTGCAAGGTCAGAGGGGACTTCACCTTCACTATTCACAATACCCACACTGGCTCCATGGTTAATGAAATACCTGTGTAGACAAGATCCAGGATCTACATTATCTCTGTCAGTCTAATAATAATTTATACTTGTGCATATGGTCTTCAATACAGAGCAAGGCCACTGTTTTGGGGTTTTAAATGTGGTCTCAGATAACATGTTCCATTATTAATTTCTAACTCCATTAGCCTTTAATAATTAGGACTGGAAGCTTCTCTATTTCGTGACAAGCAATACCAACAAACAGGATTTCTTTCACACTCATATTCTTTTTTTTTTTAAAGATTTTATTTATTTATTTGACAGAGAGAGACACAGCAAGAGAGGGAACACAAGCAGGGGGAGTGGGAGAGGGAGAAGCAGGCTCCCCACCTAGCAGGGAGCCCGATGTGAGGCTTGATCCCAGGACCCTGGGATCATGACCTGAGCTGAAGGCAGACGTTTAACAACTGAGCTACCCAGGCGCCCCTCACACTCATATTCCTAACTTCCACCCTCTCACTCCCATTGGATAGCAAGAGATTTTCTAAATACCATAAGGAAGACATGCAGCCATAAAAACTCACCCACCCTCCCTGAGATCCAAACACAGATTCCCAAAAGGATTTATACACTTGTAATATTGTCAGTAAGAGCCCTCAGAAGATATGTAAGGAAGTAATTCTCACAAAAACTTTCTCTATGCCTCATTAGAGTATATTAAGTAGTGCTGGGTATGAAAACAGAAAAGTAATGAAATAAAATGTGCATTAATCTGCCTAAATTATGCCTCCACAAAACTCTCCCTTCAACCAGCCATCTACGTGAAACCTTCTACACTAAATCCAAAACTCAATTCTAAAGAAGAAAGGTCTGATCATTTTAATACCTTAAATGTATCCTTTTTGATTTTCAAAGTGCTTTCACATAAAATTACATAATGTGTCAGGCAATTTTAAGAAGTAGACAATATGGGCAGTACTACCTCCACAAGAAATTGAGGCTCATACATGTTATTTTCCTGAAATCACAGAAGTGGCAACTGACAGAAGTGGTGGCCCCAGCCTCCCATCTTCAAGTCTAGTTCATCTGTTCACTAGATCAAGTTGCTTTTGGGCCAATGAGAATCCCAGTAATGCTGGGAACTCTAACAAATACTCAGAGTATTTAAAGGGGGAAAGAACTCTGGAAAACAGTATGGAGATTCCTCAAAAAGTTGAAAATAGAACTACCCTACGACCCAGCAATTGCACTACTGGGTATTTACCCCTAAGACACAAATGTAGTGATCTGAAGGAGCACCTGCACCCCAATGTTTATAGCAGCAATGTCCACAGTAGTCAAACTATGGAAAGAGCCCAGATGTCCATCAACAGATGAACGGATAAAGAAGACATGGTGTGTGTGTACACACACACACACACACACACACACACACACACACACACACACACAATGGAATATTATGCAGCCATCACAAAAATGTAATCTTGCCATTTGCAATGATGTGGATGGAACAACAAGGTATTATGTTAAGTGAAATAAGTCAATCAGAGAAAGACAATTATCATATGATCTCACTGATATGTGGAATTTGAGAAACAAGGCAGAGGATCATAGGGGAAGAAAGGAAAAAATGAAACAAGACGAAACCAGAGAGGGAAACAAACCATAAGAGGCTCAATCTCAGGAAACAGGGTTGCTGGAGTGGAGGGGGGTGGGAGGGATGGGGTAACTGGGTGATGGACATTGGAGAGGGTATGTGCTTTGGTTAGCACTGTGAATTGTGTAGGACTGATTAATCACAGACCTGTACCCCTGAAACAAATAGTACATTATATGTTAATAAAAAAATAAATAAAAAATAAAGGGGGAAAGAAAACTATTTAAATCAGCTTCAACAAGTCAGTGACCATTTATTGGTCCCCTACTATGTTTAAGGTACCACATTTTAGATATTGTAGATTTTTTTAATATTTTTTTTAAAGATTTTACTTATTTATTTGACAGAGAGAGACACAGCAAGAGAGAGGGACCACAAGCAGGGGGAGTGGGAGAGGGAGAAGCAGGCCTCCCACAGAGCAGGGAGCCCGATGTGGGGCTCGATCCCAGGACCCCGGGATCATGACCTGAGCCAAAGGCAGATGCTTAATGACTGAGCCACCCACGTGCCCCAGATAGTGTAGATTTTCAAAAGATAATCAAGATATGGTCACTATATTCAAAAAGTTGGCAAAGAGAAAGAATCAACAGAGACTATATTAAAATCATGTTTGTGCTTTCTCAGTGCCTAGTACCTGGTATAACAGAGCCTCAATAAATGTGAATTTCTGGATCAGCTGCACATATATAAAGTGTAAAAGCATTCGCAAGTCATCTAATTTTCAGCTGTCCCTGTCCTTCCCTCACAGTCTCAGAGGAAGAAACTTTCTTCCAATTCAAAGGTTAATTCTCTATATCTACTTTCTTAGTTCTATCAAGTACCAGTCCTCTGTTCATCAATTACTCCTTCATTTCCACATATTCAATATCTTCTCTCTTCTGGTTCCTCAACGTCGGGCCAAAGAAACATTCAGTTACACCTCCCCCACCCTGAAAAGTCAAAATGGAAATAATCTACACAGTAAGCACTCAATGAATGCTTTTTGGGTTGACCTGTACCCTATACTCTAATCACACTGAACTACTAAATGTTCTCAAACATATCCCACTCTCACTCAGCAATCTTCCACAGCTCAGTAGTTTCCTCCAACTGGATGAAACACCCTCCCATCTCCTTTCCCTTCTAGAAACTCCACTTTCAATGTCCATTTAAAATGCTTTTGCCTTCATGCAGCCTTTGCTCGTTCTCACCAAATGAATCCTCTGTCTCCTTCCTTTAACTCCCCCCCCCCCCCCCCCCCCCCCCCGCTGCCTTCCACAGCACTAATTCTGGACCTCTGCCAAGACACTATTGATGCAACCACCCAATTAGGCTGAAAGCTACGTGAGGGCAAGAACTGTGTCTTTCTCACTGTTATCATTGCTGTAACATTCTGACATCATCTCTTTTCTCTCGGCACTACATAAATAGTACCTGAAATAAATGAAATATCTTACCCACTCTGCTCTGACATCTGTTCCTTCCCTTCCTGGATCGGGCACAATGTCACTTGGGTATACAGGCCCCTGCTTTTCCCTTTTCTGACATGTTCTTATGCTCAGGATCAAGAAGACTCATTTCTAGAAGGCAATCTGGCTCATCATGAATCAGAGATTACTGTTAAGCAAGGCTACCTTTCTAGACCATTTTTAGGAAAAAAAGAAGTAAAAACCTGTTTAGTTTCCCACTTTTACCTGAACAAGAATAAATATCATTCTATAAAGTAATATTTACTTTACTCCTGAGAATCTTTATAGTTACCTAAAGGCTCAGAAATACCCATTATCTCAATAAATATGCCCCTCAGAAAATAAAGCCCTTCTATTTTTCCTAACTCACGACTGATATAAAGTATTTTCACTACTATCTAAAGGAGGAAGAAAGAAAATTTAATGTGTTTAAAAACTCAGAATAAATTAGCATCCCAATAAACTATAAATTCAAACTAAATGCTGTACCCTTGGGTCAATCCGCTGCTTCTAAGTTAAACACTTATTGGTAATAAAAATATAAAACATCCAGCTTACTAACAATAAGCCTGAACTCAAATTAAAATGAGAAAAATAATAGCCTCTTTTTTAAAAGTATATCATACTGAGTTCAAACATGAGACAAAAAGGTAATGGAACATGAAATAGAGTGCATTTCAATTTTTTTTTTTAAAGATTTTATTTATTTGAGAGAGCAAGAGAGAGTGAGAGAGAGAGCATGAGCTGGGGGAGGGGTGGGCAGAGGGAGAGGGATAAGCAGACTCCCTGCTGAGCAGTGAGCCTGACACGGGGCTTGATCCCAGGACCCCAGGATCATAACCTGAGCCGAAGGCGGACACTTAACCAATTAAACCACGCAGGCGCCCCTTAGATTCTTCCTAGAAAGCTAGTTTGCCTTTTGTTTGTTTCCATTCCCTTGACATTTAGAATTCCTATGATTCAGAGCATAAGAGTGTAAAATTTAAGATCTTTAAGATAAAAAAAAAAGACAAAATGACCAAGGGCTAATCCTATCTAAAATACTGTTCATAGGACCTAAGGTAAAGCAACCGAAATGAATAACATAAAACAGTGGGGTTCTTTTCCATTGTACAGAAAGTATCACAAATAAGTAAATAATGACAAGGTCAAAACCTGTCTAATAATGATATGCATAATGAAAGATAAATTAAAGAAGGCCATCCTTACCACCACCCCACCTATGCAATAGATTCTAGTCTAGATCATCACTCTCCTGGTCAGACTTTCATATGTCTAATGAGTAATAATTTATATAAGGAAACAGTAACTCTTACTGATTCTTTTCACTCAAGGTACTATTTATTTGGGCAGGAGATTGTTAAATTTTGAACTTGTTTCCAAAGGAATTGTGTTCATCCAGAAAGATGAATTAAAGAAATCACTGTAAAAAAGCATTTACAATCATTCTCTGCACTCAACTTCACAAAAAGAGGAAAAAAAGAGACTCCACGGACAATGCCAACACAAGTGATCCTAATTCCAAGCATGGGCTCTGCTGGTTACCTTCCAAAGGGCAAAAAGTGAAATTCTTGAGTGTAATGAGATCTGGTAACTCAAAAATCACAAACAAGCCATCTGAACAAATAATGACATACAAAAAATGAGGTGCTAACATGTTCTATAACTGTTTCTTAGATAAATTTTTAAAGTAAAAATCAAAATCTATGAGGAAGCCACCGTAAGTCTTAGACTGGAGAATGTTGGCATTAGTGGTGAGGCTGAGAATCAGAGCCTTTCCTAGGAGATTCTAAAAAGAGGGCAGTCTGAGGGTTGAAAACGTGACTGATTTTTACTAAATTAGAACATGGAGAAGGACTGAGACTAAAGAAAACTGCATTGTTCGTTTCTGTTGGCTTTGGGGCCAATCCCGTTGTCCACTTTTTAGAACAAGCAGCCCAGTCAAACACCAGCGCTGCTGCATAGCGCTTCTCTGGTCGGAGTCTCCCTTTGTTTAACTTCTCCCACTGAGCATCTCTGGCTCAAAAGCAAAAGAGACACAGGCTCTCCCCCAGGAAACCTGGGCAAATCAGATTGTGTAGGAAGCCATTCCCAGGCCTCACACAGCTGCCAACATAATCCTCCCTGCTGCTTGCTAGATAAGAGAAATGTAATAGAGCTCTAATTATATGGAAAGGGGCCTTAAAACAAGCATCTGATTTTCAAAGGATCACAGAATATCATGATTTGATTCAGTGAATTTACCTTATCAACCTAAATCTACTCTCATCTAGAATACACTCGATTGTCTCATTTTAAAGATATTTCAACTGCTAAGCCCTCCTTCCTATTTAAAAAACAAACAAACAAACAAACCGGGGTACCTGGGTGGCTCAGTTGGTTAAGCGACTGCCTTCGGCTCAGGTCATGATCCCAGGGTCCTGGGATCGAGCCCCACATCGGGCTCTCTGCTCCGCGGGAAGCCTACTTCTCCCTCTCCCACTCCCCCTGCTTGTGTCCCCTCTCTCACTGTCTCTCTCTCTCTCTCTGTCAATTAAATAAATAAATAAAATATTAAAAAACAAACAAACAAACAAACCTTCAGAGGTGCCTGGCTGGCTCAGTTGGTTAAGTGTCTGACTCTTGATTTCTGCTCAGGTCATGATCTCAGGCTCATGAGATCAAACCTCCCCCTGCCCCAATAGGCTCTGCTGCAACTCAGCAAATCCGCTTGAGATTCTCTCCCTCTGTCCCTCCCCGAACTCACATGCACATGCGCGCTCTCTTTCTCTCGAAAATAAATAAACCTTAAAAAAATAAATAAATAACCTTCAAGGGTGCCCAGCTAGCTCAATTGGTGGAGCATGTGACTCTTGATCTCTGGGTTGTGAGATTAAACCCCACGATGGACATAGAGATTACTTAAAAATACTGCATGGTTCAGCTGGTTAAGTGGCCAGAACTTGATTTCAGCTCAGGTCATGATCTCAGTGTCATGAGACTGAGCCCCACATCGGGCTCCATGCTCAGTATGGGGTCTGCTTGAGATTCTCTCTACCTCTGCCTCTGCCCCTCCCCCTACTTGCATGTGCACTCTCTCTCTCAAAATAAGTGAAATCTTAAAAAAAATTAAATTTCCAAAATAAGTAAATAAGTAATATAAAAATAAAAATAACCTGGGGTGCCTGGGTGGCTCAGTTGGTTAAGCGGCTGCCTTTGGCTCAGGTCATGATCCCAGGGTCCTGGGATCGAGCCCTGTATCAGACTCCCTGCTTGGCGGAGAGCCTGCTTCTCCCTCTACCTCTGTCTGCCGCTCTGCCTACTTGTGCTATTTCTGTTAAATAAATAAATAAAAATCTTTAAAAAAATAAATAAATAAAAATAACCTTCATTCCTTCATTCAACATGTATTTAGTACCTCTTATATACCAGACATGATGTGGCCAGGATTCTCTGCCCAAGGCAGGGGCAACTAGTTGTGATGGAGGTCAGGAGCTACTTATGTGTCTTAATAAACATACCCATTCAACTAATGTGGAGAATACATGCCAATCCCTACCCTTCCTTTGCTCCATGTTTAGGCTCATTCTTCTGCTATTAACTATATGGGTATTGTGATCAGTATGCCAGGCCTTCTCCACCTTCATTTGTACTAAGCACTGATTTTTTTTCTTAAACAATAAAACAAGTTTACAAAGAAGTCCAGAAAAAAATCTTTAGGCCTGCCCACACATTGTTAGAGGTGCTCAAAAAGTGACCCAGAGAGTACAACAGAAGCTACCTCTAAATATCCAAACAAATATGAATTACCTGAGAATAGAAGCAAACAAAAAATTTCAACTAAAAAGCTGTGGATTTGGGGCACCTAGGTGGCTCAGCTGGTTAAGCACCTGACTCTTGGTTTTAGGTCTGGTCATGATCTCATGGGTCATGAGATGGAGCCCCATGTAGGGCTCTGCGCTCAGCGGGGAGTCTGCCTGAAGATTCCCTCCTTCTGTCCCTCCCATGACTTGTGCTGTCTTTCTTTCTCTCTCTAAAATAAATAAATAACTCCTTAAAAAAAATTGTGGATTTAGCAGGTATATAAAAACAGTATCAATTATTCCTTAAAAATGATTCAAACTCCTGCTTTTATAATTTGTAATAGAAATTATAACTATTTATGAATTCAAATTTTTAAGAGCAGAAGAGAAATGAAGCCTATTCCTACAAATAATCCAAACCCATACAGAGACTCACTCTGCTATGTTGAGATAACCACAGGAAGCTGCTGCATGAAGGGGTGTCCAGCCCTCGTTGTCCTGCTGGTTTACATTGGCTCTGTTCTCCACCAGAAACTTCACCATGTCCAAATTTTCATCAATACAGGCCTGAAAAGAAAAGTCCAATCATTCACTGGACAAGTACTTACTGAGTTCTACTATGTGCCAGACACTCTCTGGGCATTGACAATACAACAGTTGTAATGATACGTTAATTTCTATTTCTTGCATACTGATAAAGTGTCCAGAGAATGACTTCTAAGCTTTGTGATTTTATGCAAACCCCTGAATTGTCTGTATGTCTCAATATCTCAGCTGTGGGGGCACCTGGGTGGCTCAGTGGTTGAGTGTCCAACTCTTGGTTTTGGCTCAGGTCATAGTCTCTAGCTTATGGGATCGAACCCTGCATCAGGCTCTGTGCTCAGTGGGGAGTCTGGTGGAGATTCTCTCTCTCCCTTTCCCCTCACTCATGTGTACACATACACGTACTTGCATGCACTCTCTAATAAATAATTAAGTTTTTTAAAACAAATCTCAGCTGTGAGATAGGTATAATGATACTTAATTTTATTTATAGTACTATTAGGATTAATTGTGAAAGTGATTTCTAAAGTACTATAAATGGGTGAGCTGTTTCATCATCATAATATAAAAGAGGACATGCTAGAAACCACTAATTTGCTTATGAATTTCAAAAGAAAACAATCACACAGAATCAAATGCAATTTTCTCAGTGGGAAGCTACAGTTGAAGATTCTAGGGTTGTCAAACAATCCCTGCTTTGGTGAGAAAGGATGAGGTGATCATTTCAAACTGAAGAAATGTACTTTCTATTCATGTGTTTTCTGAATGGCTCCAAACAATACGGCAAAGTATGTTTGTAGTTTGGGTGGTTAGGGATCCTTAACTGCCCATCTCACAGCAACAATTAGGAGAAAGCAGAGGAGCTCTTTAAATAGAAACTTTAGGCTTACCATAAGCCTAAAAGAAACAGTAACAAATAGCAATGAGATCTGCAGACCAAAAGGCTGTCTTAACTTATCTATAGAATAAAAAGGAGGTAAAATGCCCACATTGATAAGGGCAATCATTATCAAGGCTTTGATTGTTCTAAAGCAGTTGGAATAATTCAGGACCTAGAAACAAATGAGACTCCTTTTTGAAAAAAAAAAACTTGTCTTTAAATCCCTTCCTTGGGGCCTGGGGGTGTGTGTGGTGGGAATTAAAACTTCAGCTGAGAAGCTATTTTCAGATCAAAATGATTTTCTCTAACAATATTAAGACATTATTTGCCCTTTTCACTGTGTTGACATTTGCACTAAGGATACATAAGGTATTATGGATAAAACTACCAGTGCCTTAATACGAATCAAGGCAGTAGCCTCAAAGGATAACCAGTACTCACTGTATTCTTCCCTACCACGTACTCGCAGTTTAAAACAAAACAAAACAGGGGCGCCTGGGTGGCTCAGTCGGTTAAGCGTCTGCCTTCGGCTCAGGTCATAATCCCAGGGTCCTGGGATCGAGCCCCACATTGGGCTCCCTGCTCAGAGGAAAGCCTGCTTCTCTCTCCCACTCCCCCTGCTTGTGTTCCCTCTCTTGCTGTGTCTTGCAAATAAACAAATACATAAAAATCTTTAAAAAACAAAACAAAACAGTTTTATTTAAGAATGACCTTGATGGGGGTGCCTGGGTGGCTCAGTCAGTTAAGTGTCTGCCTTTGGCTCAGGTCATGATCTCAAGGGTCCTGGGTTGGAGCCCCGCATCGGGCTCCCTACTCAGCGGGAAGTCTGCTTCTCCCTCTCCCTCTGCCCCTCCCCCCTGCTCCTGCTCTCTCTCTTTCTCACTTGCTCTCTCTCTATCTCACTTACTCTCTCTCTCTCTCTCCCTCTCAAATAAATAAACGAAATCTTTGTGAGAGACACAGAGAGCGCGCGAGTGAGCACAAGCAGGGGGAGCACAGGCAGAGGGAGAAGCAGGCTCCCTGCTGAGCAAGAAGTCTGATGCGGGGCTCGATCTCAGGACCCTGGGATCATGACCTGAGCTGAAGGCACAAGCTTAACCAACTGAGCCACCCAGGTGTCCCATAAAAATCTTTAAAAAATTTAAAAATGACCTTGTTGAAGCAGTAAAATATTATTAATTTTACTAAATCTCAATCCTTGGTTATAAGTCTTTTAAATATTATGTGTGACATAGGAGGTATACATAAAGCACTTCCGCTGTATCCCAAAGTATGACGGTTATCTCCAAGAAAAAAGCACTTGTGCCATCTATTGTGAGATGAACTAGGCACTTTTTCATGGAATGCTATTTTTACTCAAAAGAACTGACATGCAAATTATGGTTTAAGACTTGAAAATGGGGCGCCTGGGTGGCTCAGTTGGTTAAGCGACTGCCTTCAGCTCAGATCATGATCCTGGAGTCCCGGGATCAAGTCCTGCATCAGGCTCCTGCATCAGGCTCCCTGCTCAGCAGGGAGTCTGCTTCTCCCTCCGACCCTCTCCCTTTTCATTGTCTCTCCCCCTCATTTTTCCAATAAAAAAAAATAAATAAAATCTTAAAAAAAAAAAAAAAAGACTTGAAAATGACCAAGCTGAGTCTGTCACTTCAAAGAAAATAACTAGCATTTGTTGCCAGTGACAAAATTTGGCCATCCAAAAGAACTCGGAATTTTGGGAAACATACCACTACAGTGAACTTGACAGCTTCTTAACACTTTTCTGATGAGATCAGTGGGACTATCCACAAATGTATAAGTAAATGCATTAACATTTAGAAAAATCTGCATAACTCAATGAACCCTTATTTTCCAAGTCCTAATGAAATACATGGTATAGATAATCATGCATGGGTAAAAGATTCATTCAAAGTATAAGTCAGACCACTCAATTTTGATGTCACAAAGTAAGAAAAATCCACTGACATGTTTCAGATTCTGCACTGCAACTAATATTTAAGAAACTCTTACTTGTTGGACTTTTAGTATAATATTCAAGAAGAGTATCCACAACTGTCTGTATAGGCTATTAAAATATTCTTCCCTTTTCCAAATTTATATATATATATGGCTTAAGGAGTACATCTATTACTCAGAGAACTTAGAGGAACTTCCTCCAGAGATAAACCTCACGTCAATTCTGCCTAGAAGCAAGGGCATGCATGAACAAAGACTGACTCAATTTGGATGAAAATTTAATTAGGTAACTCTGGTTACAAAAAGCATCTTTGTTCATTTTTCTCAAACCATTTGAAACTCTTTTTACAATTACTGAGATTAGCTAACATATCAGCCTAGATTTGATTTGATGCAATATAATATATTCCTCTAACTTGACCTTTGGAAGCCAGATGATTCTTACAGCCAAAATTCATAATGGTCTCTTTTTCAACAAGCAGCTCCAAAAATTACATTTCTTCTACTACGATGTTCTCTTAGGTTTACCAATTTCTATAAGCATTCCTCATTTACTCTTTATTTCTTTACCATGTAAAATATTTCATAACCATTATTATCACTAAATTTCAGATATATTGCATGTCTGCCAGTGTGCAATCCCCATAGGTAAGATTTGGCCAACTCATTGCAGAGTACCTTGCTAAAAATTGTTAATAAAGACCTTTTAGTGAAATGATGGAAGGGAATACTTTTTAAGAAGGTACTAAAGTCTAAGGAGAAGAAAATGCTTTGCCCATGTAATAATAAACTCCTGTATCATGAAGATGAAATGTGCCATCTTAACCTGCGTTAAGCAGCTGGGCCAACTGCTTCCTGCTCGGTTACAAAATTTCTTTGGCTCAACAGTCTAAAAACTTTAGCTCCAATGGCCAGGCCACCACCAGACTTTTGGAAGCCAAGGTTTTCAAAATCATTCTTTGTCCTTTGAAGATGAGAGCAGCCAAATCCCAGAGAGCCTAAAATAAGCCCAGTGAGTCCAGGTATCAAACAGGAGAAAACTTCTCTTTCCATCTCTCTTACTTCTCTCCCTTCCTTTTCTTAATCTCCTTCACCCTATCACCACTTCAGTTCTTTCCCTTTTCAGTTTTATATTTTTGTCTATGAATCTCAAATTCTTGATACAGTATTTTCAGTATTTTTAGACATTGTGAGGATGTTTGAGAACAAAAAACTAGCCTAATCTGCAATGTACTTTGGCAGATCATCAGTCTCCAAAGAATCATCTCAAAGAAAATAAAGTAGGTCAACAGTTAAATTATTCCCCATACCGTCCACAAAGTGAAGGACACTATATTGTTAAAAACATCAGCTTTGGGGGCGCCTGGGTGGCTCAGTTGTTAAGCGTCTGCCTTCCGCTGGGATCGAGCCCCGCATCGGGCTCCCTGCTCAGTGGGAAGCCTGCTTCTCCTTCTCCCACTCCCCCTGCTGTGTTCCCTCTCTCGATGTCTCTCTGTCAAATAAATAAATAAAATCTTAAAAAAACAAAAAACAAAAAAAATCAGCTTTGAAGTCAGACAAACCCGGGACTGCATACCAGCTCTGCCAATATGTATAACCTGGAATGAAGTATGTAACCTGAGGATCAGTGAACTTATTCCTTTTTTTTTTTTAAGATTTCATTTATTTATTTGGGAGAGAGAGTGCGAGCATAAGCCAGGGGAAGAGGCAGAGGAAGAAGGAGAAGCAGACTCCCCTCTGAGCGGGGAGCCCAATGCGGGACTCGATCCCAGGACCCTGGGATCATGACCTGAGTTGAAGGCAGACGCTTAACCCACTGAGCCACCCAGGCGCCCCTAAATTTATTTTTAAGATTTTATTTGAGAAAGAACAAGAGCGATCACAGAGAGAGAGGGAGAAGAAAACTTCCTACTGAGCAGGGACCCCGTTGTAGGGCTTGATCCCAGGATCCTGAGATCATGACCTGAGTGGAAGGCAGACACTTCCAACGAGCTGTCCAGGCACCCTCAGTGCACTCATCTATAGCATGAGAATACGACCTACCTCATAGGATTTTGTGAGGATTAAAGGAGCTAAACCCTGGCATTGTTGTTGTTTTAAAGCCACCAGTTCAACAAATAGCAGCTTCCCCAGGAAAGAGCACAAATTGTACTAACTCTTCACCCATCACTGCCCTCCCTCACCTCCAGGA